ATATATATATATATATATATATATATATATATATATATATATATATATATATATATATATAATGGAACGCAGACTGCAATTGGCAACCAACTCAATTATGTTTGTATGTGTTTCACAGATATTGCTGTGCTCTGTCTGGACCCTCTGGACAAAGGGAAGTGTTCGGCCTCTATAACCCGGTACTACTACAACACGGCCACCAAGATGTGCGAGGAGTTTGTCTACACGGGCTGCGGAGGAAGCAGCAATAACTTTGTGTCACGGCAGAGCTGCGTGGACGTGTGTGTTCGAGGTGTGAAAATGTGAATTAGCGTCACGTGTGTTGGAAGTTTCACCAGCCACAATTCAGCTTACAGCACAGGTCAAACCCAGACCTGTGCTCTGGGTTTGAATTCAGTCAGAGGGAAGAATAGCAAAGTCAGCTCAGATGACTTAACTATCAGTAGGGTTTAAAAATGCTCAGTATCTGAAAACATTCTCTCCTTGACCTCCAAAATCAAATCCTAAAGCCAGTTGTTATCACATGACCTCGAGAACGCCAGACAAAAGCTATCTCTTGAGAGGTCCATGTTTTTCTAGTTTGGAGGTTTAGAAAGTCATCAGACATGTGACCTATACTAACAAGATCCTGGACATTTTCCTTCTTTTTTTTTTTTATTTCAGGACCAAAAAAACACTCAAGCCATGGGAAACTTCGGCGCTTGAAGCGAAATAGAAACAATCGCCTCCCTCCGCTCAAGGTCTAAAAGGCCTTATGTCACTCAGGAGTTCACACTTGGACAAGTCCTCAACGTTTGTTTTGAGCTAACATGATGACAGGTCGTGTATTTTGTTATAGAATAACTCTTCGAATGCTGTGTATACATTTTTTTTTACATTTCTATGTGATTTTAAACACAGGTTTTCAATCATACTGTGCCAGCCAGAGGCACAAGTGAACTGAGTAGCTACATAAGACCTTTAAAACTAGTGGTCAGCTCTGTTTTAATTGTCAGTGTATATTTGTTGGTGGAAAATATACAAGTTTGCCACTGATGTCTGCCACAAACTAATCACAAGCTATGCAGATGACAATATGCTTCTTTTCCTGACTGTGAAGGAGTAAAAGAATCTCGTCTCTTCGATTTATTTACTGCTATTTATTTGGTAAATAATGTCACCTGGAAATCAAATTCTTCGTAGGGTCTTGGACTGGCTCTCATGAAAGTGCATCACTGTTCCTAATTATGTATTTTGCTACATTGTAAATGAAAACTGTATGTTATGTATGTAAGGACATTTTTATGGATTTAAAAAAAATAAAATGTACAGATTATGATGAAGAATTCTGCTTTCTCTTGGACTTTCACTTATTCTACTGTTTTAAACAAAAGATCCTACTTATTTGGTGCCCGAATAATTAACAAACTCAAAGCGTGGGAATTCAAGCCTAATGATCATGCTCTGTCACGCAGCGCTGCTGGCACGTCAACGTAAAGAGTGTCTTATTTAAGTCGGCCAAAGAAAAAAAAAGAAAAGAAAAACAGGCTTGGCTGGTTTCTGCTCTTTCTCTCAGTCGCTTTCACTTTTATCTCCTTCGCTAATGCCGCTGTCTCCCTTCCTTATCAGGTAATACTTTGCAATGCACTCGAGCCCATCTCTGCCTGCTTGTGCATGGCCTTGAATCAGGAAGGAAGCAATCATAAGACAGTAAACTCTGCTGCTGTGGCGCGGTCATTAGAACGCCTTTGAATATTCAGGCGACAGGAAGCTGCAGGTTTTCAAAGTGTGTCTAATGAGCTTTTAAAAAAAAGAATCCTTAGCAATTATAATACAATCACAGAATAAAAAACAAAACAACCCACAAAAAAAAGAACAGCCCCAACGCCCAGTGCGCCTACAGCAGCAAATTCAAATGCACAAATATTCTACCAGAAACACAAATTTTTAATTTTTAAAGTTGTTTTTGGTCTACAGCACTTCACTTTTGTCAGATTGGTGCTTCAAAGTATAATCCAAAACTTTTTAGCAAGGATGTAAATATGGAACTGCACTTTGTTCCGTCTCAGAATAAAAAGCAATGAGCACCGTTTGATTTTTCTGATTATAAATATTTATGGCAAAACGCTGGAGAAGCTACACAGCTGCTCGACTATTAGAAACAAAGAAATGCTATAGTGTGTCTGTCTGAGCTTGGAATAACGAAAGCTAAATCATCTGTTAGACACTATTACAAGAGAGGCAGACTTTACAATAGTGAGTAAGCGTCTCCTCAAAGATGATGTAATCTTAAAAACATCAATTCTGTTCAGGGAAACTTTTTTGTTGCTGTTTTTCAGTCAGCAAACATCAACCTGAAATCAACAAATGTTAAAAATCCTCCTTGAAACTGTTAATTACACTGCAACCATAATGAATCACACTTCATCTATTCATCATACACCAGCTATTGTTTGTTTTACAACGCCTGCCTTTGTAAAGAACTCTAATGATCTCATAAATCATCAGCTTAGACTCAGTAGTTAACTTTTAATCAGAACAAATTGCTATCTTTGCCCATCAGCGGGTGATAATGTCACAGCCCTGTTAAAACATTTGCAGTAGTAAGGGGAATGGATCTTGTCTGGGTATGTCATTATTAGACACATTCATTAGATCCTGGCCTATTCATTGATTATTATTGATTATCTACCCTTGAAAATGCGTGCTTTTTATTTTGTAATTATAATTGAATCAAGATTACTCTGCCTTTCCCAAAATGACATATCAAGCTTAGAATTTTGTGTCATTTATTTTTAGTTGGTGTAATTTAGTGGCATAATTTTGTGAGTTCTTTGCTGAACTTTTAGTAAGTACAATTTTCCCTACACAGTTTCCCCAATATATGGCTCGCGGACCCTTAGAGGATCCCTAGCAGTGGTAATTCTGTTCAGGACTCCAAACTGAGAGAATTTGTCTAATTTTGAACACAAACTTTCCTCACATGAAAGTTCGGAGCAGTCTGATCCTGGGCCTAGCATTTATATTTATGACCTAATGTTCTTGTAGGCCGTTGCAGCACCTCTATAGACATACAGTAACGGGCGGTGGGGTCAGTGCTGGAACTCTCATTTTTATGGTCCACATTTCTGAGACGGACATCAGGATCAGGGAGATATTCAGTCAGGCAGGCAAGATCGCTGGGTTTGATTTTTGCAGCCATGCGTCGTATTTCAGCACCAGTGGGACGCATTTCATTGCACAGGGCCTTCAGTTCTGTGGCAATCTTGACACCGTCTTCTCTCGGCTCAGGAAGGAGGGAGGCTGCTGATGTGATGTCAGCACCAGTCCAGGGGCGATGAACTAACATTGCTTCCGCTCCGGCGCCTGCCACTTCCATCGTAGGGCAAATGGATCTCCACCTGGGAAGTAGAAAAAGTGGGTGAAGTATCCCTTTGTCTTAAAGGGAGAAAAGCGCACCTGCATTGTCAGTCTTTTCCCCCTGCCAAACTCCTAAAAGTTGCCTTTTGCTCTCTGCAAGAGCTTTTTTCATCCACACAGTCATACATTTGTCATGTTTTTCTTTATCCTCTAACACTTTCTTGATTTCTTTCCCCCTTTTTTATGTTTCTCTCCATTTTTCATCAAGCTGTGTTTGCATATGTTTCAATTGATTTACACTTAAGCTTCCCCCTTTAGGAAAGTCATAATTCTGTTTTCAGCATGCAAAAAGGTCGTTCGTATTTTTTTCTCTCTTTTCATTAGGTCATAAATATAACTGCTAGGCCCAGGATCAGACCGCTTCGAACTTTCCTGCGAGGTTTTTTTTTTACAGTGAGACATCTCTCCACTGGCTTTTCTTTCCAGTGTAGAAATGCTAAAAACCACGCTTTACGGCGTTCAACGTCTCTGCTCACTGAACGCAGTCAGGAGAAAGAGCCTCGACAGCAGACAGCAAGCACATGTCTTCTTTCACTAGGAGCGAGCCATGAGAAATAAAACGACCCAATGACTTCATTGTAATGTTAAGGCCAGTGACTTCATTATATGCTAAGGCCAGAGAAACTCATTCAGAAGTCTTTTTCATGAGCTCATAACACTGCTATGCACAGATCCAGCTAAACATCATAGTAACCTTAAATTTTGCCACTACAGTGCACGCAGATTGTTCTGAAGAGTTTGCAGGTGTCCTTTGTCAAGCTGCTTCAAGACACTTCAGAAAACAGCGGGAGGGAACGTGAGCTGGGGGTAAACCTCTAACACGCCCCCTGGTGGTAGAAACTAAAATAACTAAAAGAAAGTGCAATGGTTCTTTAACACGTCTGTTTTGGGGTGCAAATATACATAAAGTATATTTTTTATTACTAATTTTACTCAGTGCATTGATTCATACATTTAGAGATGTAAATAGTCATGTTTTTCATGCATTTATCACAGTATAAGGTTCTCTTAAACAAACGCTCAAAAGTTTATTTTAAAAAGGGTTGAAAAATTATAGCAGTATTGAACATGTCAGCATTTAAATATTTCTAATGGGGATGCTGACACAAAATTCACAAAATTACAACCAGAGTAAAGCCATCATAAAAGAAAATCAAAACAAATTACTTTGTAATTGAAGCTTCGGAATACTATTGAACACCGTTTAAAAAAATGTATTAAATATTTTGTGTAAAAGCCTGTCTTTGATGTCTTGTGTATAGAAGAACTGATCAGATTGCATTGATTTGACAGATTCTTCCATAAAAACTGTCTTCAAGTCTTAGAGGTTCTGGTAGGACCTTGTTATGCATTTTCTTTTTAACCCCTCCACACATTTTCAGGCCGACAGTTTTATTTTTCTCCTCTGGAACAATTTAAGGATTTACTTGGGACAATTATATGCCGTATTTTATGTCGTCTGATATTGTTCAGTATCAAAAAAACATTAAGGTAATTTAAAAATATGTAATTCTATGTTATAAAACTGAGTCAGAATGAAGCATAAGTAAAGTAACAAACAGGAACTGCATTGCAGCAATGGATGTAGATAGCATTATATTATAGACTGATAAAACTCTGCTTTTGCTAATTAAGGCTCTTGTACAGGATGTGAGTCAAAGTGTTAATGTTTATCTGAAATAGCTCTCACTGGGTGGAGCGTTTCTGTTTTGTTTTGTTGGTTCACCATCAATAGGTAACACATTTAGGGAGGAGGAGTTTCATGAAAATTCCTTTTAAAACCATTGGTACTTACTGACTAGGGTACTACTCAAAGCAGTTTGTTGTCCTATATTTTCTTTGAGGGTATCTTGTTAACCATCCTGTTACCTCTGCAACCAGCTTCCCTGACCATACAGAAGAAAAACTTTCCCACATCATGATGTTGCAACCACCATGTTTCACTTTAAGAACGGTTTGTTCAGGACAATGTGCGTTCTTTGCCTACTCGACTACTGTAACAAACCACATGGAAAATAATTGTAATTGTACTGTGGAAACATTCAAGGACTATAAATACTTTTGCAAGTCGCTGTATTGTAATTTTGAAATGTTTAGATTAGCCTCACAGAAATAAACGTTTGAGGTCTTTGTTTTTGGTCAGCAGTGAGGGCTCTATTTTTATTAACAATATATATATATATATATATATATATATATATATATATA